AATTCAGCTCTTATATGAAACCAATGAATATATTATCTATTGAAGAGTTCGATTCAAATCATAATGCATTGACCAACATTAATGTTCCATTAATCGCAAACTAAACTAGTTCTTCATAAGTCGCTTAGCCACCAGCCCACAAGATACCCAATAATCTATCACTCGGTCTCATTTTAGGCGAGCCTAATTGAAAATATAGGCGGACGTCATTAATAAGTAGTCATGGGGTTCCCTTTTAAAAGACTAATTTACAAAGCCCCCGGATCATGGGAATTTGGCACTTAGTGTGTTGCCGGGCTAATATAATACAATAATTATTGACATTAACTACACTCAAACGAATTATAGGATATCGTAGTACAAAAGCACGTAAAATTTTCCTTGAGAAACCGCTAAGTTAGGCCAAATATTTCTCAGAAGTGGCCTCTAATAATTGAGCGTTTATGGTCTTAAATTATCATCACTTTGAAAGTTTTTGAAACTTTAAAACTCTACTCATTGTTTCACAAGTAATATTGCTTAATTTAATGGCAACTTTAAGAGTGTCTTATCTAAACCTGTCATATTATTAAATAAGCATAATTTTTACAATCGAAAATCACGTCTACCCAAGCATTATTTACTCTCTTACATTCTGGCTTCGCAACAGAACAGTAAATTTTACATACGACTGGCTTCCAAGCTAAGTCCAGACGAGTTCGAATCTGTGGTCCACTTAGAATGTCAAGGCCTTCTCAGAAGCAAGGATTATTCGAGTCCAACAGCCATATTTCTTATTGAAAGATAATCATGGACTTGATTAATTAGTCTGCAGTACACCATTGCCTCATGTAAAGCCAGATGAGAGTAGATATCTTCCGGAATGTTTAGAGATCTGCCCAAGAGAACATTATAATTTTACTCCTGCTATGCAGACCAAGGTGTTGTTGGCTATGTTTTGGGCACAGTCTTCTTTTACTGCATATAAGTGGTTTGACCTCATATTCACAACTTGATTATGCTGTTAGAGCTACTTAGTAGCTATGATACTTCCCAGATTCAGGCCTGGACTTGGGGCATACTTACTAGACCAGAGGGTTTCGAGCAAGCTGGGTTCAATTAGGTCTCGACCATGTTAGGAAAAGGAGGTCAAACCACTCGTTTATTTATTCATTTACCTAAATGTAGACGAGAGAGATGATCGAAAACTATTATGATTTTCAGGTCAAGGCGAGTAAAATTCAGGGTATGGATGAATGAATGGGAAAAAGTTCAGCTTAGAGACATAATAGTCAGCTGAGCATAACTTCATTGGCGTGGTCAAGTCGTAGTTGCCCTTATTATCTGCCCCAGTTCCCAGGGCTGCAGACAAAAATATGTACAAATGTACAATTAACCCGAGCCTCAAACACACCTAAGCGCCTCGCGTGCCCAAGTAATGTCGACCGCTTCCCCACTCCGACGTTTACACCACTCCCTAAGCCCCAGCTCTCTGAGTCTCTCCTTATGCCCGCCCGAATGGCGACGAGGTCACCCCATTACGCTTTATGCTGGCCTGCGGACGCTACCCATCAGTGCCGGCTACAGAATTTGCCCTTCTACAAACGGCAGCAGCCGACACATGACGAACCGAATTCACAGGAATCTTTCCTCACAGTTTGGAGACGATTAATTGCCATGTCATGATTGGTGACAGAAAACCAGATAAATCTGTAGGCAGGCTGGTAATCAATCAGTTTTTCTCCCCCCGCAAGCAGGCCTGTGAATCTGTTTGGCCTATCCGAGGCATGTGGAGCTTGGTCAACATGCTCCCGTTTTCGCACTTTGTCCCAAGTCTGCCTGAGTGTGATGAAAGAGACCCTAATGCCCTCAAGCCCGACCAAGGCCTTGGCTAGGACAGGTTGACGATAGGACGGTGTGTCATTTTTTAAGAAGATTATCCCAATTCTGCCACCGAAATTCAGGCTTGCACACCTTTTAAATGTATCCTCAATTCGGCCGTGCACTGTCTGAAGCACTTTATGTGCTTGGGACAAGGTTTATTGACCCCAACCCTCAGCAATGCCGCTGGTACCGGTGCGAAAGGCCGAATAAAACGAGCGAAACGACCCTCGGAAATCGGGTCTGAGTCGCATTCCACAAGTCTGCAAACGGGAGGGATGAACAAGTGAAGTTCACTCCACAGAACTACATCATTGGTTGCAAGAGCGAAACTGACTCCCGTCTCAGGGCACCATGGCAACTCGCCAATATTACGACATGACCAACTAGTCCTTTGACCGGTTGTGCGCAATTCATGTCTTTGAGCAGCACGCCCACACTCCTAAGCAAAATACCAAATTATTCACTCTGTATGAGGATCCAAGACCCATCATTTACCGGCCAAATGGAGAGAGGGTCTGGGCATACTTGGACTTCATTGAAGGGGTACGTGGGCTTTTTCGCTGCTGCCGCGGCTGACGAATGAGGGGCCGATAAAACCACCAACTTCCAAAGTTTTCCCACATCACATGAATCTGTTTTAGGATGCTTTAGTGACGACATTCTGTCGCTTGTGTGATCTGTGCTGGCCACATGTACATACTGCTTATTCGAATAAAATGAATTCTTATCAATTCGTTAAGGAGAGGTCTGATATCTGCCCAGAACATTGCACGTCGATCAGAGATCAGCTTTCTGTTGGATGAAA